CATATATCGCGATATGACATACCCCGACCAAAATGCCCCCACCCCATGTCGCGACATGAAAGCCCATATATCGCGATATGACCAAAACTGCCACGTCCATGTTGCGACATGAAGTCTGTATATCGTGATATGACATACCCCCGACAAAAATTCCCCCACCCCATGTCACGACATGAAGTCTGTATATTGCGATATGATATGGTATCCCACAGTTACGCGTTTGGCAACAGCGTGTCACGGTAGGGAAAGAAAGGAAAACGTGCCTTAAAAAATAAAAACCATAGATCTTACAATCACGGTGATCTTATATACATTACGACCACAGGTTTATGTCATAGATGGTTAACTTGTTGGTATGCATCATGTCTTAGTATTATTCACATCTAAGGAGGCTCATACGTTTATGGATATTGATTGTCTTTAAAATGTTAAAGGTAGGAACTGTAACAGAGCGCTTGAACTCGGAAGACGGGGTCACTGGAGGTCAAAGTCACGTGCATGGTCACGTGATCACCGGAAAAACACAAACGCTACTTTCAACGGCATAAACTGGCACAAACGCAGCACTAACGAATGAGGTGGGTTTAATCGTTTGTGCTGTCTGTAAGGGGGCAACTTCAAGGAGCTGGATCAGCTGTACCAATTCAATTCAAACCTGCCTCTCTCCTTTTCAGAGCATTAAGTAGATTCATAAGTAAAATGAAGTGCTAAAACGGTGTTTTTCTAAATGGGTCTATTTCCCTCGAGAAACAACATAAAAGAGTAGGAAAACGTTTTCAGGGAAACACGAAATTATTGAAATCGAGTTGATTTCAAATCAGCCAACTCTGGGACCAAACTATAAAACATCTCTGCACCGATCCGAGTCAAAGCAAACGCATTTGTGGCTGATCACAATTAGCACAGAACTCACCTGTAGCATAGACTGCAAGTGACCCCAAAAGGCAAAGCAAAGAAAAACAAGGGCCACCAGCAGCAGGATAGCTGAGGGAAGAATGATGACATCAGAAGCGCAAGGCGTGGGGTGAGACTCCCCACGCACTTGGGTGTTACAGGGGTGGGGCGCTGGGGTCTCCCTCAGCGCAGTGCGCACCCTCGACCACACGGACCCCTCCACGGATTCTGAACGCGACGCCATTGAAGCGGGCTCCTGCCGTAAAGGCACATCATTAACACTAACACAAAGTTACAGTCGATGAAGTCGCCCACCAAGCCGACGCAGGTCCTGCACCGTCACAGCGAAATGGATGACGTAAAACAGTCTCCCCTGTGACGCCACACTTCCAGCTCAAGGGCTCTCAAAAGCCCCTGCCATTGTTTGCACGCGGTTGCCAAGCAACGGTGAAGTGTTGTGCATCAACTCAGCTGCAAAATGGACGAATATCAGTCTACCGAAGAGGTAATGTATTAATAATTTATATTCCAACTTGTATTAATGGAACAGAATACTTTGTAGGGGGTGCAAGGGTTTTGTATTGCAGTCCTACGCCTTATTTCCGACTTGCATTACCTGGCACTATTTGCTTTCCCTTTTCTCGTTACTTTTAGTTTGTGTGCCCCGTTGTTTCTTACCGATTTCTTGTAATGAAGCCATATAGAGATATAACTCACCTATTACGACCTATATATACATGATCAATCAGGGAGTCTAAGATGTTTAAAAATAATGTACGGGATGTTTTATACGTACACGTGTATTTAAATGTTTCCAAACCCGAAACTCAGATGATTTGTATGAACTCCAACAACCCAAAGACTTCGCAGTCATCTTTGCCGAGTGTGTAAAAATCCGAGTATGCCAGCGAAACACGATAGAAATCGCTAGCGTTTTGAACATTTCATTGAAACCTGCGCCTTTCCCAACAGACTGCATTCGTTGTTGATGATGTCAGCACGATCATCAAAGATGTAAGTACTCGCTATACGATATCCAAACAAGATACTACTTGATTCCTTTCGAACTCTCCTTATTCTAAAAGACGATAACACTGTAACCAGAATAGCTGTCATAGAAAATGCTTAATATTCTGTCGTCATAATAGGACAGAAAAAAAGTATGAAGAAGCGTGTAATCAATTAATTCAAGCATGAATGGCATGTATTCCTTTGCACTGTATTTACTCGAGCCGGTCAGATGTGTAAAACATTCCCTCACCATACACCAGCGTCAGATTGGCGGTGACATAACGGCGATTCGGCGGTGGGGTATGGTTTTGCTTTTCCGAATGACACGGAGGTGCTTTTTCCACCTCTGTCGCGGCATGTATCTTGGGCAAATGCCGTAAAGTTTTTTCCTGGTGATCCCAGGCCGTAGAGAGCACGATCGGCGGCAGTGCTTACCAGCACAACAGGGTCAACCAGTGGACCTCCAGCGTCGTGGAGAGCAGCCTCAATCAGCTCACCAAGCTCGGCAAACCTTTCAAGTACATCGGTGGGTCTTGTTCCGCGCACCCCATCGCTGCTACCAATATTTGCACGGTAGTGGTTGTAGCAGAATTACAGTAACGTTTACGCCGCTTTGCAAAATATGAATCGACGGAACATTTAAGGTTTTCTTTTATTACATTTTGATTGACCGCTTTTGCGTGTCAAACGAAGTCTCACACCAGCTAATGTTGAACAAAGGCCCGAAGAAATCCCAGATTGCTAGCGATGTTGGTGTCCTTTTGTGTCTTTCTTAGTGACCTGCATTATACTGCAGAAGAACGGGGCAGGTCTCCACACCGCCAGCTCTTGTTTTTGGGACAACACGGTGGATGGTAAGAACAAGCGGCACTTCGCCTGCCCTTTTCAGAGACGAGCATGCAACTGCGTTTTCTCGAGTTCAGATTCCTTCTAAAGAGAGTCAATGCATGGTCCTTCAGCGTGGGTTTAGAGAGAATTAACTGCACATTGTGGAACTTCATAGTGCTTATGACCAGAAACAGATTTCACGAAGCAGATCCTAGAAATGGTTGCACAGCCACAAGGGGGTAGTATTGTATTCGTGCTGATTGTCTTGGCACACTACAGAAAGAGCATCGCCAGTTTACTGCCTAAACCTCACCCATCTCACCATAAATGTGACTATTCATAATATGACACATACTTTTCCAAGTCTAACACCATTACTATTTCCAAAATGTAGATGGATATAAAATATTTAACTGCTTATGCACTGGTGAAAGAATTAAGCATAAATGCAGTACCTGTATATACCACCTTTAGCCTGCAATGCTGTACCTAAAAGCTTGGTCAAGGGCTATGTCAAAAACGACAGAGGTTCTACAACATGGTAACAGGATGTACAGGCATCTACAGCATAGCATTTTAGAAGAGGATAGAAAACATCTTCCTTTTTCTAGAAGTCAAGGTGGGAGGTCAGATATACATCTCACTCACATATTGCTTTGGATATTAATGATAGGCAGTAGATTTCATAGGACTTCTACTTTATGAAAGTTAACATAAACCTGTTCCAGGTACCAGATAAGCAATTCCAAAAGTGCAAGGAACAATCAATGAGGTTTACAGTAGATATTAAAACTTGTGGACGATGGAGTTGCTGATTTTATTTTTTGTCCTTGCAGGAAGCTGTACTGTTAGATGGGAGAATAAAACAATGTACTGCATCGTCAGTGTTTTTGGACTGGCAATTTAGGAGCTTGAAGCTGCTCCATGTCTGCAGAGCTGAACCAAGTTTCAGATACTCAACCTCTCACTTTGGGTGAATTCTGTTTTTTTATGAATTCGCCTCCTGGCTCCCAAAGCAATTGGTGTAGTCATACTTCACCTCATTTAACCATTTTCAGTAACATCATTTTCTTTTGCTTCCTGTTCACACTTAGATAAAAATAGACAAAAGTAAAAAAACATGTCTGTCTATTTAAATCTGATCTGTAGCTTTTAACCCTTAATCAATATTAGTGTAGAAGAACAGATCTGTCAGATCATACCGCTGTGATTGGATACCATGACTAATAACAGCAAATGTACATTTAACCTTACTCAAAAATGAAGTATGAAAGATGCCTACCAGTGGCTGTTGCTTTAACTACCAAAAGAAACAAGACTAGACAAATACCATATTAACTGGTTAATCTAGAATACTTGGTTATCTCATGTGAGGTATCAGTCAGCTGGAAAGGCCTATATGTACATCAATGAGAAACTGATGGTTTATTGACTGTATGAATGTAATTTGCAATGTAGGCTTCATTTAAATAAATTCATTTCAATACACTTTTAAATTGTTTTCGAATATTCACTTTTGTAAATATGTTTGCAGTGCACATACTTGTTAAAATAATTTTCAAATACTACAAAGCCAGAGCTCTGTGGGTGGACTGCAGAAGTTATCAACTTCTTTCATTATATTCAGCTAAAATTAATTCAGACTGAGCAGGTTTCAAATAAGTATTATTGTTAACAAACAGTAAAAGGCCAACAACTGCTAGCAGTTCAAAATTAAGAATAATCTTTGAAATCTCACAGCACCTTCAGAAGAAATAAAACTTCCACTTTAGGGAGACAAAGTTTTATTTTTAGTGAAATAAAAGTTTTCTTTAATGGGAATTCCTTTGTCCAAATGCCATCTTAATCAGTCTCATCATTAATACAACATAAGAATGGCTGGCAGTTTTATAGTGTACCTTGGTAATTTATTAAACCTGATTTTAAAACAAATCCAAGTTTACAATAAGGCAGAAATTCATCCAATAGCATCCACTGTAGGTTTTGAATTTCTAGAGGCTCCTTCAGCAGTATTACCTTGTCACTGATGCCAACTTTTGCAGCTAATATGCATGTTCCAGCATGGTAAGGAAAAACTAATGTTTCTGTCTAAATATCTTTCACTTTAATGACTGGATTACAATCCTCAATTTGAGGTTCCAAGAAAATAACCTTCACATGATAAAAAGCATGATTGATCTCTTGTAAGTACTGTATGTGGGACTATACTGGCAGGATCTTGGTTAAAGAATTCCCCGTTTTAATTAGGAACCGTCTGAAATTATTTTAATGACATTTCTAAACTTTGGGCTGTGGGAGATAAACTTTTAAGTGCTTCTGTCCTGGGGTTGCATAAAGCTAGTCAATTTTCAGCACAGAACTTACAATTTCTGGGGCCTGCATTGTGGCTAATGATGAGTAAATGTATGCCATGTATAGGCAGATGCATTGTCTGAAAAGAATTAAAAAACTGAACAACTAGCAATTAATAAATCACTTCATTAATGATATATCACACACCAGATTACACAGATAAACCTAAGTGCAAGTGCATTAGAACTGAGAACTTTACACAAAGATTTGTAAAGATATGAGGCAACCTACCCCAGCCAGCCAAGATCCTCAGATCCAACTGGTTACAAGCAACCAAACAAGTTAGATGGGCAGAATGGCCTCCTTTTGCTTATAAACTATTTCCCATCTAAATGCTTCTGTACAAAAACGGGTCACTAAAATTACTTGCAACTCTGCAGCTGATGTCCTTGTACAGTGTGAAGACAAAAAAAGTGTAATTTATTTGGTATTTATTTAAACCAAAAAAACCCAAAACATAGAAAACCCACTGTAGTGTACATTATATTACAAGGAGCACCCCTTCTGAAGTGCACATTCAAGTCTTTCACTTAATCGACAATATAAAACTCGGCCCCACCCCAGTAAAGAAAGAGTTTATGTATACAACCATGCAAAACTTTCTCAAAAGGGTATAATTAGTATAATTTAGCACCATTGAAATTAATTTTTTATTGGGATTGATTTTGAAAAAACGATGGGAAATGCAGATATGCATTGTTACATTTCTATGAAACCACTGGTTATACCTTTTTTACCCCCAATTGAATTTGATCCCACTTAAGGGAACTGTTCTTTTACAGTTTTGGCAATTATTATTTAATACAAAAAATAAAAAATACTGAAACAGTCATTAAGTTCGGTACACAACACACTATGAGTTTGTAAATTTTAAGAACTTCCAAGGCGAAGCTGATCAGTCTTTTTAGTTGGGAAGAGATCTAACAAAGAGGTTGAGAACTTGGACCTTTCCAGCACCACCACGGGCTTGAGGTAATGAAGCTGTTTGATGGCCAGGTCCCCACAGTCTGTCAGTGCTTTGTCTAAAATAGACCTCAAATTTTTCACTGTAGCGGACTCTCCCGCAGAAAGCCGTGGTTTGAAGGCTGACAGTTTACCATGAAGCGAGCAATTTCGGGTACGGGCAAGCGCAAGGCCACTTTGGCTGTTCTCTTTCACAGAGCAGCTCCGACGATGCAGGTCCCGGCGCCTGGGCACAACCTGAGGCTCCGGGTGGCGCGAGTCCCACGGGCCACTCTCCTCAAACTCATCTTCTTTGTCCTCGCTCTCCTGGATGAACTTGAGGAAGGACGACTCAAACCCCATGGGCTTGTAAGCCGTCAGATCGAACGTCCTGGAGGTGGGGCTGTGGGGAAGGCGGCTCTGTTGAATGTCTTTGGGACCTGGAAGTGGCTCCTCCAGTTCATTCTTGCGTTTCAGAGGTTGCCGGGAGGGATTGTTTAAGGGTCCCAATCCTTTGCCACCTCCTTTACCGGAATAATCTAGGAAACCTTCGTCTATTGTGAATCGGAGCGAGGAAGGGGGTGTGGCAAGCAATTTAGGTTTCTCCTCATGACTGTTCTTGAGGGTCCTCTCCCTTCGGTCACTGTGTCCATTTTTTAAAGCCTCTCCATACAGCAAGTCATCAGCGTCAACCAAGAGGTTATTTTCAGAGCTCTCCTCACCAAACCCCATAGGGTCCTGCCCATCCAGTGGGTCTGTTTTGATAGAGTGCAGGCTCATAGGAAGCTTTGGACCCACATGGTTTTCTGGCTCTGCTTGGTACTCTACCTTCAATACCCCATTAGGGGCTCTATCTACCTCTGAATGAGTAGAAAGCGCAGATTTCTTCTGAATCAGTTCCTCCAGCTTCTCTGCATTGTTCACCAGCTTCTCATAATTCAATTTCACATAGGTAGAGGACAGCCGGTGGCAGCGAACATAGTGCCGACGCAAGCTCTTCTCCAAAGTGACTACAGAATCACAATCCTGTAACATGCAAGGGTAAGCAACTGCAAAACAACGATCTTGGCACATCTGCAAGGCCTCTTCAGGGGTTCGGAAGACCAGGTTACGATCCCTTCTTGATGAGCTCTCCTTTTTTACAGTTTGTTCCTTGGGGGTGTCTTGAGACCTTGAGGTATTTCTCAAAGATTGCCTAAGAGGTAGCCTGGGTGTGGGGCTTGTTTTACGTGGCAGTGGCTGGGTGCCAGCAATGATTAGCTTTTTTTGGCATCCACTGGCAGACTTGTCCTTCTCGTCATTCTGAAGCCTCAGGACAAACGAGTTATAGTAGTCCCAATGACTGTAGAAAACATGCTGCTTGTAACTAGAGTGCTGGGAAAACACACGAGTGCAACCCTCAAATGAACAGCGCAGCTGGCATGGTGCGGTTTTCTGTGGGCCGTGGTCTCGGTGTATGTGACGAAGGTGCCGGAGCAAGCTGCTGTAGAGATGGTAACTGGCCGTGCAATCATTGTAAGTGCAGCTAAATCTAGGTATGGGGTCTTCTGAAGCAGGAGTTGTTGAATCCTGGGTTTCTCGATTTAGTCGGTGAAACTCACGGTAGTGTCGTGCTAGGCCAGATGAACTGTGAAAATGTTTTCCACAGCCCTTATGCTTGCACAGAAACCTCCTGGGTTTTACCAAGTCCTTCCTGGCTCCTCCTCCTTGCTGCATGTCCCCTTCCAGACACAGCTGAGACCGGTTGTAGCGGTGCACTGACTGGAGGTGGCGAATCAGTCCATTCTGGTTGGTGAAGGCTGAGCTACAGCCCTTGTGCACACAGTGGAAAGGCTTATGGTATTTGGTTAGAATGTAACAAAGGTTGTTCTTTGCCACTAAGCGCCGGCTGCCTCTTCCTTCCCGAGTTACCTCCTCCTCTTCATCCTCCTCTTCCGCATTGTCCTGCAAGGCCAGAGGAGACTGAGATTGCACATCCACCTTCTTGTTCTTGTCCTCCTGCTTGATTTCAAGCTTTGTTCCCTTTTCCCACTTGCCCTCCGTCAACCATGTGCATTGTTTATTCTTTTGGTACTTCTGTGTACAGTCTGTAGCCCCTTTGTTTTGCTGCACCTTAACACACTGCTTCTTTTCTGGGCGACTGGTATCCTTTAGGTAAACACCACTGTCTGGGGGATCAGGGGCATTTGCTGTTAGGTTCTTGCTGCTTTCACTTCTCCTCTTCAAGGAACAGCTCATTTGCTCCACCAAGTTCTCGCTAAGGTGGTGTTTGCTAATAAAGTGGACCCTCAGTTCTGACTTCTTACTAAAACTTCTTGGGCAAAGGTGGCACCTGAATGGCTTGAATTTGCTTGACTTGAAGATTTCCATCTCTTTTACTTTCTCCTTGGAAAAACCATGCTTTTTCAGGTAGTGCACCATAAGGGCAGAACTGGTGACGCTTCTGAAGCTGCATCCTTTTACTTCACAGACGAAAGGCTTCGTAGTGGGCTGAACCAGGAACTGGTTTATGTGTTTGTCCTTCTGTGGTGATGGAGAAGGGGATTGCGACGCTTCGGCCTTTGACTTCTGCGTAGGTGGCTGCCCTTTAGACACACTACATGGGTCAGCCTGCGGTTTTGAAGATACCTTCTTCCCTACTGCCTTGGCAGGGGAGCTAGCACATGAAGGGGGAGGTGAAGATATCTGTGAAATGGAAGACCCTGAGATTGAATTGCATGGGACTTCTGAACCAGGCAAGATGGTGTTATTCAGACTCAGTTGACTGAATCCCAGCAATATGTCCTTTAAATAATCATCAATGCACGAGCTTGGTGAAGCCGACGTGGAATTATCCATGTCTCCTGATGGAGGAACAGAATTCTTCTGGCTAGTTGTCGGAATTGGCTGTGAACTTGAATGGCTGCGGGCGCTCTGATCCTGATGACCCTGCTGTTTAATACTCTTAAGCTTTGAACTCTTTTCCTTGCTCTGTTTTTTTAAACTTTGCCCCTTTTTCTCATGCTTGAACTGCGCAGGGTGTACAGTCTTCAGATGCTTCTGGATGTCTCTTGCCAGGGTATACGTCCGGCCACAGCCTTCAAAACCACAGGTGAACCTTTTGCCATCAAAACACACAGCAACACTGGTCACTGTTCCAGTGAGCTCCTTACTAGCTGATGGTTGAGAAGTGGAGGTGCAGGTGTTAGATAATGGCAATGACTCCGTCTCTTTTTTTATGCTCTCTACAGCCTCTTGTAAATGAGATTTTCCCTCATTCGCACTTTCAGTTTTGTCTTCGGCAGTGTTCCCGGCAGCCAGTTCCGCAAAGGGGTCCACGGGTTTCCGTTTCATATTTCTCTGAGCGATGAAGTCCTCCTCGGTGAATGTCAATCCATGAACAGCCAAGTGTTTGAGAAATTCCTTTTTAGAGTAATAAAACTTCTTGCAGCCAGGATGGACGCAACTGTAGGCAGCATCCCTGAAATGTTGAGCCTCATGGTGATAGAGTTGCCCCAGGTCACTGAAGGTGAGGGTGCAGCCCTTCAGCTCACAGTGGTAGCTCAGGCGGTAGCCATGACCCTGCTTGTGCGAAACAAGCTCATTGGTGGTGTTGAAGCGAGCTCCACAGCCAATGGCCACGCACATGTAAGGCTGCTCTCCATAGTGAACGCGTCTATGCTTTCGATGATGATAGGCAGTGAAGAAGTGGCGGCGGCAAAAAGTACACTTCTCCCGACGGTCCTTCATCTCCAAATAGTGCTTTATGTTGTCATCGTCCTTTGCATGCTCTGCTTTCAAGTGCACACTTAAATATTTGAAATGTTTAAAATTCCGTGTGCAGTCTGTAGCAGGACATGGGTAAACATCACGGTCTTGCAATTCAAAATGAGTATCAATGTAGCTGAAAGTGATGTAGTCATCTTCAGCTGGCTTACTTGGTTTTGTCTGCTGCAGTAATTGCTCCAAGACATCAGGGTCAGCTGTAGACTGGTAGTACATCATCAGGGATGGATCCAACTTGATCTCCCCTGGTTCCATATCATCCATATCTTCTTCATCCACATCCTCCTCCAGCTTTATGACCTTCTTCTTTTTCACCTTTTTCTTTTTCTGGGAATGTGTGTTCTTCCTAGCTGGCATCCGAATATGCTCAGTAATATGTGGCATAAACTCCTGCTTGCCCTGAAACTTCTGGAGGCAGACAGGACAGGTGAAAACACCATTTTCCAAATGCATCTTGGAGTGGTGTAGGATACGTGCTTCAATGACCTCTCTCTTGCATATCTGGCAAAAGAACTTGTATTTTAGCCACCTCTGGTACCGCTCTGAAGTACCAATCTCTTTCTTTTTCTTCATTACTTGCTTCAGAGGTTGTCTGTCCTGCTTTTGGTCCAACTGCTGGTCATCTTCAGTCTCTTGTCTCTGGTCAGTCGTAACAGCGTTAGAGCCACACTCAATCTCTTCCTGCTCCTGCTTGCTGAGATCTTCTCCTTCTTCTTCTTCTTCTTCTTCTTCTTCCTCTGACACATCAGAGGGTTCAAGACCAAGGAGTTTTAAACAGTGTCGCTTCAGGGTCTTCCAGTCCCAGAATTCTGGATCAAAAGGCCAATGGGCTTTGAGGGCAAGCAGGAGCTCACAGCGCAAGGAGTTTGAGATGATACTGTTTTCCTCGTCATACTTTTGGTCAGGTTTCAAATAGAGCTCTTCCAGAGAATCATAGGCCTCTTGTGAACGGCTGAGGAGGAACTCTGTGAGCTGGCAACCACGGAGAACCTCGAGGTCATCTGGCAAAAGGCAAGCCACCATCTTGCAGACAGACGTCTTGGTCTCTGCATCATCCTGCTGTGGAATCTGCAGCGCTCTGACACACAGCTCAATCGATGCAGCCAGACCCAGTTGCTCTGCCTGTGTAGAAAATTGCAACAGATGTCAAAAGCCAGAGAACGCAAGCTGTTTCAATTCCGTCATCACAGTTCCCACTAACGGGTCTGAGAACTTTTTACCTTTGTAGAAAAAATAAATTAAGGCCTTGAAAGCTATACGTTCTCACACTGATGGCATTAATTCCTGAATGTTTATTTTGATGTCTTGTATATAAGTTAAAGACACCAATCTGTCAGACTCCCTGATGGTTGCTTTTCAAGCAACAGTTCGTCATGTGTTTCAAATGCCTGACAACTGACAAATGTTTGTGCAGGTCTGTGCTTATCCTATCCGACTTAAAGAGACTGCACTTATACAAACTGAAACGATTACTTCCCTTTGTTCCACCCAGAAAAAATTGAGTAGAAATTAAAGAAACATTTTTCAATAGAAAAGACGTAATTACCTTCAGTGACAAACTAAACAACCAAAGTCCCCATAACTGCACCATATGACATTTTAGATAAAGACAGGTTAACGATAAGACATATGAGAAAGAGGATATACCTCTGTTTGGATGACTTTGACCAGGAAAAGAAGATGGTACACAGTCTTGGCAATGAGACCAAACTGCCGACATCGATCCAAGAAGGAATCTAAAGAGGGGTCTATTCTTTTCTGCAGCTTACTCCAAAAAAGAGTTAGTTCCCTAAAGAAAAAAAAAACAATCAATAACTATATGCAAGTAAACACTCAACAGTTCTACAAAACTATAAATTAATATTGGACTGCAGATTTATTGTGCCATATATGACAACAGTTTGTGTGTAATAAAATACTTTGGAGAAATAAATATACCTAGTGGAAAAAAAAGTTTGACAATCTCCAGAAGCCTTCCTGGACTTCGAATGGCATGCATATTTATGCTAAAATATGACTTTGAGAATAAAAGAATGCCAATAACCCACAACATTTAACACTAACATAGAATCTGTTTACAGGGACAGTGAATGATGACACAGCTAGTTTTGAGAATGAAATAGTCAATATGTCTGGCTTCTCTTAAGAGTCAGCGATCTGTACTATGAGACTCACCATGAGCAATAAATGTTCTCCTGCTGCAGCTGCTGTGTGAGATAAGTCGTGCAGAGGATGAAGGCATTGTTTTCCTGGCCATCTGCTTCCAAATTGCAGATTATATCTAACACTTCTTTACCATCCACACTGGAAATCTAGAATATAAACAACACTTTCATGTGGTAAACAATCCAGCACTTTAGAAAGACTTTAGAAAGAACCTGAGATACCTGGAACACAGGAACTGTAAAATGAAATGGAAGTGTTAAATTTGAACCTCCTTTATTTCCTGGCTCCAGGTGTTTTGATAAAACAGCAGTTCCATAAACATTTGGTCTTCTACCTTCTTTAATTTTAAACAAGAAACAGCACATTCTAATCTAAATTAAAACTCAATTGCTCTGTAAATGTGGAAAAAGCTAAATAATAAATGGGGACCTTTGCTAATTTACCAGCATGTGAGTTTAAAAACCACTTAAGTGGGGAGCAAATATAAATCTTTAAAAATGTACAAATCAGAAAATAAATTACATACAGTTGGAAAGGTGGCTGTCAGCAAATAATTGCAAAGATTTTATTGAAACCTCTGTATCTCTGATTTGTAAGTGTAGTTACCAAGTCTTTCCATGTATAGACTGCACAAAGCAGTATAAAACTGCAGCTACTGACTGCAAAATTATCTCTACAGCTGTGCTCACACCATACAGACAAGATCTGTAATGAGCATCTGTGGGGGGACAAAAGCAATCAACCTGCTGTCTGTTCTCTAGAAAGTTACAATCCCCAGCAGACCACTGAACTGCAATGCCACAATCATGTCAGACAGAATCTGGGGACGGGAATACAGAGTTTAAAAACTACAAACTAAAGTCCACGGTTTAACAAAACATTTTTTTTTAAAAAGGAGTCAGATCAGGAATTTCCCCCAAAAAGGATAAAAAAAAACCAAAACCTCCTCAACATTTATACTCTATAAAGCAGTGGTCAGTCATTAATAAAAACAATTTGTCTATCAATTCACTGAAAAACAAGATGCCCTGCAGGCTGTTAACTGACCTCTTTAATGGCCTCCTCACTAGGCATCATGCTGCAGAGTTGGGAGATGTACATCTCACGCAAGCTGGTCTTGTTTGAAATGTGTTCATTCTCCAAGCAAATCTTGGCCAGTATCATGGCCTTGGCCACTTCTCCTGCATTCAGCAGATGTTTTATCCGCATCTCCAGGAAAGCAGCCCCCTCCAGAGCAATGTACTTACTCACTGAAACAAGAGAGCAGCACATTACTGAAAGGGCACATCTTCCACATGCCCAGGGACATCTGCAAAAGGACACCAAGTGTGAAAAAAGTCTAAATGTACAAGAGCTGTGGGAATAATTACTGCACCAACTCAGATAAAAATGAATTTAAGGTGAGTAAAAAATAAAATCAAATAGTCTGTACTGATGGATACACTACTTGTAGGAAGAAGTGAAAACATGGTGATGTACTATGTGAATCAATTATGCTTTCCTACATTTTGGAGCTTATGTTTGGAGGTTTAAATCATATGCCAAATAAATTCAAATGTGACCTTTTCACTTAATTTGAATTAACTGTTAATTAACAATGGATTATAAATACTTCTTAATTCATTTTTTACATAGGAAATGCCTCCAAATAATACACAGTTGAACAGTGATAAGGTACTTCCATTACTGAATGAAAACTACAAAAGCAAACCTGTACAGTTTTAAGCAAGTCTTAGGATGACTATTTCTGACTGTTGCACTAAGAATTCCTTTCTACCTGTTTCCCCCAAAGAAAATACAGTGAAATCAGGGTAAATGAAAATGCTCTAGTCCTAGAGAATGTGGTCTTGAAACAGACGAGAAATATATACATCTTTTGCAGAACAAGACAGCTAATGTAAAGGACAAGTCCACAGCAGGCTCTTGGGACTTGGTTCACCTTGCTCGGGGTCAACGGGCTGTGCCGTGAACAGGCTGACAAGAACAGCGTTCTTCCATGCTCCACCCTCACTGGTGATGCGCAGAAGAGCCTGCAGGTCCGTGTTCCCAAACTCCACCAGAGTATTATGGGCCACCTGCAAAACCCAAACCCAGCCACTACCCATGAGTTGCTCTAAACTGACATCACATTGCTGCTGCTCAAACAGGATTTTGCAATTCATTTTTTTTTCTTTTTCAGCATCAAACATGTTGGCAAATGATTTTTAAAGAACAATCAACATCTGGTCCAGGGGTCTTGTCCTGGAAAGCCTCAGTCCAGCAGGTTTCAAAGGTACCTTTTTAATAATTTCTGAAGGCCTGCAACAAATTAACTATGATTAATTAAACATGTAGCGTGTTTAAGTAAATTAGAGATCATTTGGAACAAAAATATGAATAATCTTCATCATTCAAGTACCAGTGTCCCCTTCATTGGATAACACTTTGTTTCAATGATATATTGCTTAAACAAGTGTTCCTACTCCTTCCTAGGTAGGAACACTTGTTTATAAGTATAAGAATAGCTGGATTGGGGCTCTCCAGGACCTGGGTTAGAGACCCCTTTATCAGGTCACATTAACAGCCTTATCAGCCAAGCCAGAAAAATGAAGAGATACTCAAGTTTGGCTTGGCTTAGTCAAAAACCCACCTAAAAGTTGGACAGAGTGTGCCTGTTAGGCAACAACACTTTTTCCTATTTAATTTCAGATTAAGAGAAATTCACATTAAATTACTATTACATTTCCTATGAAAGGAACAGAGACAGGCTAACCGAACAGATGCCAGAGTTTTAAATTTTACAAAGCCCAATGTGTCCTGTAAGTGTTATGTCTTTTTCTGCTTGTGCGCACCAGAATACACCAATTCTGGACTTGAAAGCCCTGGTGTGTCACATACAGTATATATGTGCTCCCCAGCACAGCACAGGCATCACAGAAGGTAATATTAGCCCTGGTGAAAACAGTTTGTCCTCCCCCCCGCAATATTGCTTTCACATCAAAGAGCTTGCATTACTGACCCATACAGCCTGTCTCTAAGAACAGCAAACACGAGGAAATAGAGAACTGGAAAAGATGCATCATTTAAAAGCACTGCATTAAGGGTTGCACACTCAGACTTTTTTCTTTCTCTTTTGATATCTGCTTACGGTATAAAGCTCCTTAATTTTTTTCTGTAAACAGCACTGAGTTTATACTACCCCTCTACTTCACCAACTGACAAAAGCATGGCACTTAATCCTGACACGTTCTTAATCTGGCATATTCAGCTTTCAACTTTCCTTCCCCCTCCTCACCTGAACAGTGTGGTGAAACTGTAACCAAGAATCATATGGGATTTCATTATCAGGCACTGAAAGCAGCAGTTCAAAACAGCTCCTAGAACAAACACACACCGAGAGACAGGTGAGAATACATCAGAGAGATAATAATGCAGCTCCTCTTTTTTAAAACCTTGACCTTCGTGTTGAATGCAAGTCTTCAACAGAACACAATCTCTTCGCCTGTTTTTTTGAGGTGGAATGCAGAATGTAGAAAATTTTGACAATGTCCTACCACTTTTGGAATTCATATGTAATTCATACATTTAGAGCAATATGTTCAAATTCATAATGGTTTATCAAACCAATGCATAATGATTTTTAGAAACAGGATTTAGGATTGTTTTCCCTTTAGAAAGAGCAAAGGTACCATAAGGTATTTTATTATTAGCTAAGAAAATGCTTTAACATGTAACAGACAAATACTGAATCTAAGTATGTCTGATGTATTACCAAAATTCTTTTCAAAATCTGTTTGCATTAAAAAAACTGCTTAAAATCTATAGTATTTTACCACTGTTGGCAATGGAAGACTTGCAAACAAATAAACTGACAATTGAAACCAGTAATGAAATTGCAGCAATGCACTAACTTGATGTGAACCTGTAATGGATGTATTTCTCATTAAATTGCAAGGCTGCAGTAAATGAAATCATTTAGTGACAAAGTTTGCAGCAACACTTCTGGAACTTCAGCATCTCAGGTTCTTCCTGCAATATGCAAGGAAGAGCTTTAATATAAGAAATAACCAGCATGACTCACAGTGCCAGTCTCTTCAGGACCAAGGCCACGCTGTCAGAGTCACAGCTGAGAAGAGGCCTCACTGCAGCGAAGCTCTGGATGGACAGCCGATACACCTCGAGAAGAGGCAAGCCGTGCTCCACCGAGTTCCGGCTGCCAGCATACTGCATGAGCGCCTGGGAAGAGAGGAATCAGTATAAGGCTGGACAAACCTTATTAGAAGTAGTGATGCAGAATGAGACTGCAGAGACATTAGATGGCACGATCGAACAATGGGGAAAAAAAAACAATAACACCAAAAGGTTAGATGCAAACTTAAAACAGCACCTAAAATAGCAAAAATACTATTTGTAATATCAGGACAAATTCCAATTGCATGTGGATCCAGAAAAGGCAAACAATTATTTACCAATGGCTGCTCTTATCTCTACAGAGAGTCGGTGGATAATGTGTCTATTATTGAAATACAAAAAGTGAGTCAGGTAAAGAGCACCAGTACTCCTCATTCCTGGGAATACCCAGACATATTTCAAGACATAAGCATGTTTCATATTAGACTTTAATTCAGCCACATTAATACCACACCAGTACAAATCATAATGTCACAATGGAACCACTATTTTCATTGGGCACACCTAGAAATGAGCACCCCAATGCAACCTCAAAGACCCTTTCATTGAAAATAGCCTACTGACTGTGGCTTCCTGATCTACTTCATCAGAGTTTCTGAAATCTAATGATACTATGGAAAACAATCTACACAGCTCTTTTGAACCTCTTTTAGTATTCTAATTTGATATGCAAGTTAACAACAATAATCATCTTAAATCACATTTAAAAAAAACTGTTATATTTATATTGTGGATTAAAAGAGATCATATTTATGGAGACAAAAAAATAATCTGAACTGTCAAAATGTGAAAACACAAAGCCCGTCAAGTTTTTTTCTTTGATAAACGTACCTGCTGCTAAAACACACAAAAAGCAGGATGCAGCTTTATTGTTTCCTATGCAAAAGAAACATCACATTTCCATGTGTATGTTCCATTGTCAATCTATCATGCTAGCCAAAAGAACTAAAGAACTAGAGTAAAGAATTCCCAAGGAGGCTTGCTTCTAAATTACAAGAAAAAAAGATAAGCCATTCATTATGTGTTCAAATAAGACCGTTCCAGGATTTGTGTGGGCTCAACAGCTTTTGTAAAGTGAGGATCTGTTATCAGGCCCTTTTCTGGGGCTGTCCCAGGGTACAGGGTGAGGTTTCCTCACTTGATAAGGATAAGACTTTCCTTTGCTCTGGGGTTATTGTAAGTGTCTGGGCTCATGACTGGCGTCCAACAGATTCCACTGCATGCAGGCACTGCTTTGGCTGAGGACCCAGTAGCAGAACAATGGACATCCAACCCCAAAATGTGATGTATCCCTTGCTCAAACAAGACAGCAAATGATTTGAGGGCTCCTCCTGAATCTCTGGAAAGTTGTGAAGAGGAGATCTCCTACAACAATAGCTGGTACCAGGGCCCGTGGTGATGTTTGGACTACCTTCCTAAGGTACCAGCGGAAAGAGAAAGACCTCTGAAAAAGTCAGGCGCCGCTATCAGCTGAGTGCTCAGAATTAATGCTGAATAAGCAAAATATTTGACTTTTGTGGTCAGTTACCTTCCATACCAGGGGTAGGCATCCCTGGTCCTAATGTGTTGGCTTCAAGACGTTAGCAATTAATTTGTACTGGGACAATGGCCTATTTGACTTATCCAATTAACTGGTTTATTTCATTAAGATCTGAGATAGATGGATACCCAGAAACAAATGTGGCACTTGATAAAATAGGTTTTCTGTCCTTCTTGAACTTCCACAATTTTTCGTAAGAAAAATAGATAAATTGTGTATTTAAAGTATGAAAATTTGTTTCTTTTTGATTTTTCAATATTAATCACATTTTGAAAAGAAATGCACAGTAATGTACTCCTGAACAGGACAGCACCTGAAGTTTACTAAAAGTGTACTTGCCAAAACAACTAGGCCTGAAGAAAGAAACACAAAGAATCACAGAGAAAAAACATAGCAGTAAAAGGCAATCATTTTGATCTCAAGGTTGACCTAGAGTCAACTTGCTAGGTTTTTAATTTATTCCAACCTTTAGAAAAAAAAATCAAAACGTGGTAAATTATTCTGAGACTAATAGGGGCACATTTTAAGAATTGTGTTCCAAGTTTGCATATCCGACACAAAAACTAGCACAAACCTGATACATACAGCTTATGTACATTCCCATAATAAAGGATGTTCGTATCAATATTTCTTTTAATGTCAAGCAGAGTGATATGCATTTAAAGACACTGCTTTATAAGCCTCTAATAAATTAATACAAACCAATGAAGATGAAATGTGAAACAAACTACTTATCTGACAATACAAATTATGAAAAACCCTTAAAAAGGAGAGGCACACAAAAAAGTGACTTAAATATGGAATTATCAGTTTTGATATCAGGAAACCTATGCAACACATTTTATTGATTAAACAGTGATGCATTTACTAGCAGCAGCATGTCTGAAGTATTGTAACAACACCCACTAATTAGCTGGCTACGAAAAAATAATCTGGCTCTGGAGGAAGAACAATCATTCTTCCTTTCTGCATGCAGGCGGCTTTGGTGTTTAAATGCAAATGGGTGTGACAAAACACAGCTAGGCAGATAAACTAATATAGAACACATAGCTATAGTAGGAGCCTCCCTGTTTAAGAAAAGCAGAGTAAAGAAAGAACATGTAACTATCCTCAACAGCATTTGAAATGATACTCTATTTTAAGGAGGATCAGTGTGGATCCATGTTCTTATGAATATTAATTTGCCACCACCCCCACATTTTAAAATGCATAGTTATGCAGAGAGCAGATATGACACCTAGATAGAGTAAAAATAAGACGATCCAGGCACTTAAATGCTTTAGGACTAATTAAACAGCAAAAAGTAACAATGAAGGAGATAAACAGAAATCACAACAGGGACTTCTAAGTGTCTGCATAAAGTGGTGTCTTTTCTCCTTGAAGATTTTAATAGGACTCAAAGCATAAAAAGACATACTGTACATTTTCAATTATCAACCACACATATAAAATTCATCCACTAATCAGCCCATATTGAACTAAAAGCAAACTAATGTTTAACACATCAAACGGGTGATCAGGAGAGTGGTGTCAGTATCTTGTATATTCTGAAGACAGTGTGAAGTCACTGATGTTAAGCCAAATACCTGTCCCAAATATCCAATCAGGGCACCTCTGCTGTTTAAAATACCCATGTAAAAGGTTAAGGAAAACCTTTACATTCACCTATTCATTTGAGTACACACACATAGTACAACAAACTATGAGAATAATGTCCATGAACACAATGCAATTGATACAAATTCTCCACGATTAAAAGAGCATTTTAAAGCAACTCAATTAGGACTTAGGAACGGGCTGAAAAGAACCTCCCTGTCTATCAGCAACTAACAACTATACACCTGAGAGAAAGGCAGTCGGCTGGAATGGTGCCTAGACAGCTTCCAGCCATGAAAAACCAGTGTGCATTGCTCTTGGGTGTAGTCCACAGGGAGCAACTCCAGACTGTGTGGCTTTTTCACTCAGACAGGTATACCCAGGGAAATGTCAAGATCACCACTTGCAACTCCCCAGATGTCTTCTGTAAAAAAAAATCTTTTCCTAGGCACAGGCTATTTCAAAGCTCTTGCAAACTAAATTTAAGAGCTGTATTCCCAGTGGAGAAAGTGTCCTAATCTTCCTCAGATATTTTTAACGTCTTGTAAATTGCTTGTATCTTTAAAATGCCTTGCCTGCGGTGTTTTGGTCTGCTACCTTCAAATAATTTATTTTTGAAGCTTGTTGACTGCTGACAACTACACTTCATCTTTTGCTGTTCCCTATAGTACCCTAACTGATATTAGAGCACAGTACAAAGCTCACTATACATCTGTGGTGTAAAATTAGTGGTTATGCAAAATGGAAAGGCAGGACAGAAGAGATTTCAGGGAGGTTTGAGTTTAAAGTGGGTCAGATCCTGAAACTAAAAATGTTACAAAATGAGCACAGTATCTATTTGATCTCAAAAGCAGAAATGAATCTGGCAGTTTCAATTCCAAAAATGCATGGGCACTGGTGTATGTATTAGTTCATGATCAAATATATTTAGAGATATGCTAGGCTTTAAATGTACTAATCAAATGCTGCTTGGGTTCCATAGAAGACTTAAACCAAACCAATACAAAGGTGAAATTGATGCATGAACCTTTTTTCTTTTCAAAAGAAAAGAAGCCATGAGGTCTGTAACAACCATGGCTGCTGTAACAGGACAGCCCTTAGACATGAAGTCAGCCAATGTAAAAGATATGCAGAATTACAGAAACATCCAGCTCAACACATTTTCTTTACGATCCTGTTCTATGGACACAACTGTTAGTTGAAACTAAGCCTATCCTCATTATTGCTCCAAAATAATAGCCCTCTGATATAATGTACTTGTGATGCTTCCTGGAATAGCTTTATTGTCTGCTGCAATACATGGATATATTTTGGATAGAAGTTCTATTGATCACATTGTATTTGACTTGTAAATATGATAGTGGCAAGAGATTCTAGGCTTGCTTTTGGACTAGATCTGCAAGGTCATAACTGCCTCCTCCTAATAGCATTACCAAGGTTCCTGGCATGTGTCATGTCCTCATCTTGTGTTTTTAGTGCACACAAGGCTATCATGCAGAATTCTAGGCAGAGGAAGAGACAATACAGCTGTTCCCTCCCGGTAAGTTTAGCAGGAGGTTTGTCTGGAAAATGGCTCCTGCCAGCCCCTGGTCACTTGAAATTCTACAGGAGTGGTTGCTACAGCAACATGCCTGCCTTCAGGGAGCTGCTGAGTCCTTGAAAGCCTGAGCAAGAGAGAGGAGGAAGATGACAGCCTCTGTGAACTGGAACTTTAGAAACCAAATTACTTTTATTTCCATCCTCAGGATACTGCTCTGTCCCTCCAAGGGTCACCTGAAGCCAGATCCTATCCCAGACGCCTACAGTACGAAATGACATGCTTTCTGAAAAGCTGGTCCATCAGAACAAGTTCATATACATAGAAATAATGACTTTATGAGGCCATGACAATAAAATGCAATTTAAGAAT